GCGAGTTTGTAATACGGCAGCCCCGCGTAAGGCTGGTGGACAGAATTAGGTGCTTACCATGTGCTCTCATAGTCAAAGAAGCGGTACGTCCCCTGCTCGTAGTCTTCAGTGATTGCTTTTGGTTCTTCGTGGCGTTGGAACCATGTTTGATATTGTTTGTGAAATCTCCAGCTCTGCGACTTGAGTGCCTTTGCAGCCAGGTATTGCTGGTACGTGCCTTGGCGGTAGTAGAAGGCGTAGAAGAGAGCGTCGGTCTCGATGCGGGAGTACAAGCGAGGATCATCGAAGATGGGTAACGGCTCTTGCGGGTAGTGCGCGGGCGTAAACGGATAGGGATTCTGGGGACGGTAGTGGCGCGGCGCCTCAGTATCCGCAGAGTCCGGCGCGGTGGCCATGGATGCTGCTAGCATGTGCTCATTTGGAGGTTTCGACGCAGAGGCGGATATGTCGTTCTTGGTCGCCTCAAATGTGTCCAGGAGGTCTTGTAGGCTCGACGGCAGATGATACACTGATTCCTCTTCCTCCTCTTCTGCATGAGAATCACCGTTCGTTAGCGGCGGGGTGGCAGCCGATGACTCCTCCTCCTCTACAGGCTCGGGAGCTGGCGTCCTTCTGCTGGACTTGGAGGCGTCTTCCGACGAAACGGCGCGCGAAAGGGTCTCCTTCTCCGCAGCAGGCGTCACGGGTATACTTGCCGCGGGAGCTGGCGATGCTTGTGCGGATTCGGCTGGCTGCGCGCGCGAGGCCAGTTGGGAATGTGTTATTGCCGGGGAATTCGCTGCACTTGCCCGTGCGCCGCCAGGAATGAGGCCTGACTGTGCTGCGGCCCCTCCCGGTGGTGGTGGCAGAGGAGCAATGCCCACTCCATTCTTATCGCTCGCGGCTGCAGCAGCGGCGGCCGAGGCGTACTTCAAGGGCTCGCCCGGCGTCCTTGTCGGTATCGGCGCGGGCTTCATCGCGTTGGCCGTGGTATTTGAGACGCCAGGTAACGGCGTGTGCAATGTTGCTAGTGCTGGTAACGGCGACTTCATCTGTGTCGAGGGCCGTCGTGCCTGTTGTTGTACTGCCTCTGTCGCTTTCGGCTTGGGTGCTGGCGGTCGTACGTCTGACTCGGGTGTATCGTCTGCTATCGACTGCGACTCGTGTGAAGACACATGGTCCAGGTTCTCGCCCAGGCCAAAGATGGCCTCCTCCTCTTGCAGGTTGAAGTCGTCGTATATTGTGTCGTCGTCCATGAACTCGGGGTCCTGATTGCTCTCGACGTAGTACTTGATGCTGTCCTCAATCTCCTTGACCTGTTCTGTCTCGACGTTGCCATTCTCCAGCGCTCGATGCAGCAGGTCCAGCTTGCCCTGATGCCATTTATTCCGCTCGACCGACTCTTCCAGCTCTGCCACGCGCTCTGCCTTTGAATTGTCCCCCTTCTTCGTCTTCTTGACGTTGGCATGCAATGTCTCGATCTCGGTCTCGATGGTCTCTATTTGGCGCTCCAGCTCCTCGTTCATCTGCTGCAGGAACTCGACCATCTCCATCTTCTCCTTGTCCTTGGGGTCGATTTTGGACGCTAATTGCAGGCCTTCCTTGGAGTATGCTTTCGTCTTCATCTCCTTTTCGACGGCCTTGAAGCGCTCCATTTGCTGTCACATGTCAGCGTCCCATCATGCCGGGAGGCGGCGGTCAGCCTACTGTCTCGATGAGCTTCCGGTGGTCGAGCAACGGCTTCTTGTCCTTGATCTCGGACATGGCGGCCCACGTCTTGATCTGGTCCCGCGAGCGCTGCAGCTTCTTGATCTCCTTCTTCAGCTGGTCCTCGAGCTTCTCCTTCTGCGAGGGGTTGCCCGTCTGCATGATCTTCTCATATATGTTCTCGAACGTCGCAACGCCTTCGGCGACTTTCTTGAAGCATTTGTCGATCTCCTGCTGGAGCTTGCGGGCGGCCATGGCGAGGGTCGAGCCTCGTCGTGAGGACTTTCGCGGTGGTTACGGCAATGATTGCGGCGCCGGGGGTGGCAGCGGCCGGGAGACAGTCGAATCGCGCGAGTGAGGGCGTCCGACGGGGAATGGCGTGGATGTTTGTCGTGGGCTGAATGCGGAGGCGGACGTATCGCATAGGTAACGCGATGCCACAGGGCTGGCCTAGCGTCCTCGCCAAGAGTGCGGCCACTAGCCACCACGATTGGCCCCACGCGTCTGGTTTCATCTACGCGTTCCACCCTCTTCCAGCCCCGTCTCATAATTGTCGCATGTCGCAATTCCCATGCGTGACGTCGTTGCGCTGCTGCACATATCACCGTGAGGCTATCGCTCTCTCACCACTGCACGGATAAGTGCTACCCCGCCATCATGAGGAGTACGGACCCCGCCTCCCTGCACACGTAACCACGCCTATACTAAGCGTGTCTAGCGGTGCTGCAGAGGGTCAAGTCGGCATCAGTCACGGTCGATGGCCAGTTGATCTCCTCGATTGGCAAGGGCTTGCTGGTCCTTGCTGCCGTCTCCAAAGACGACACGGAGAAGGATGTTGAGGCCATGGCTAGCAAGATACTCAAGGCCAAGCTCTGGGACGACGCTTCCAAGGACCCGCCGGGCCGCGTATGAAGCCGATGCTTTTTCTCTCGGCTGAGACTGACATGTCAAGTGGAAATGCAACGTGACCGATATCCATGGCGAGGTTTTGTGTGGTATGTGTGAAACGCACTCTGGGATTCTTGGCTGTCAACGACAGTGCTTTTGCTGTGGAATCGGTGTGCTGAAAGTCGACAGTTTCCCAATTCACGCTACTGGCCTCTATGAAGAAGGGAAACAAGCCGGATTTCCACCAATCCGCCAACGGCGACCAAGCCAAGACACTATACCAAGCCTTCTTCAAGAAGGTCGGATCTCTCTATGAGTCCGACAAGGTCAAAGACGGACTCTTTGCCGCCATGATGGATGTTGCTTTGGTTAACGATGGGCCGGTAGGTTTGGATTATACCTGCCTAGATGGCGAGGTACAACTTAAGCATGACATTTCCTGAGTGTGTGCCGCTTTGCCTGCTCATGCTAATGGACATTGCTAGGTCACTATTCAAATCGACACCAACCCACCGAAGACGGATGCTTCCACCTCGGGTGCTCCAAAGGGAAGCAATCAGCAGACAGTCGACGTTGATGACCGCAAGTAGCACGTATAGTACACATGCAGGCCTTGTACTAACTCTCGTTCCTTTCGTAGTGGTCAACAACATGACCAAAATCACGCAAGAGTTCAAGATACCAGTAGAGCGACTTGAGTAGATGTCAATACAATCAGCCGCCGTGTTTACGATTATCGACTTGCTTGTACCGACAATGCGTCGTGATCAACACAGACCCGGGACATTGTCACCGCACCACCAGGAGACATCTACTGCTGGACAACAACAATGCACGCCGCCAGACAAATACAATATCCATCCATACATGCCGCCTCACATCATGCCCATTTCCACTGCATGTACAGACGCTGCTTATGTCAGACATACCGAACGTGCGTATGGGTTGCAACTCCAACCCGACGATAGGGCTTGACCCCGTGCCGATGCGCCACTGTCCTAACCGATATGCAGTTGGACTGAACCTTGCACATTACGCCCGGCAGCACGGTAATTAACTGGACTCGCCAATGGCGGCGCGGCATGCAGTTGGATTGAGCACCCACGCTGTTTGAGGTAGGGTATGCGAAAGCTGTTAACTCGCCGATAGATTGAAGAACTCTGTGCCAGTGACAGACCTATAGGAGAGCACACGGCTTTTTCTCGTCAGCACCGTCTAAATTCGTCGATGGGTTTCTGAGCTACAGCTTTGCCCTTCGGCAAGCACCACAAGCCATGATCATGTCTCATCGACAGATGCTATCTCGCATGGATAAGTTGCTCGAACATGGGCGCCTCCATCTTACCGCCATGCTACCGTTGCAAAGCCTCCAGGTGACGCCTGCATGTCGATTGGTGGTTGGGCAGCTATCTCGACACCACCAAAGCGCGTGTAATGTCCGGAAACACCTGAACCGCATCCACATCGAACTCGCTGGGGGTTTTGCTGACAGTGACGCTGACGTGTGACTGTATCCTACGCAATATACACCTCAAACGGACGTGTGGACTAGATTGCAGCGACAGCCTCTCCGAAACTTCTCGGACGCCTCTTCAACTCCACGTCTCGCTTCGCACCACAAGCTCCATTGCGGAAGTGGCAGTGCCGGTCCTGAAGGAAGGATTCTTTCGATGCGCATCCATGACAGTGAGCTGACCGACCCCCGTACTTCCGGTGAACAGACACGAAGTTCTATTCCTGCTTCTGCTCGGTAATACCTTGATATCCTAACACGCCCATGGTGCTCCAGGATAGATCAAGCTCCGATGTTTCCACCACGTCACGTTTTCTGTCTTATTTCTTGCCTTCGATAGTTGCACTCTCGACATCTTCCACCACTCTTTCAAGCCCGCCCGGCCGTCGGCTTTTCCTCCACGCTGCTTCTCGTGAGTTGACTGCGATTCAGCTTGTCGCTCGACAATCCCTGATTCGGCACGTTTCTTGTTGGTCGACTGCACAAGTGGAGGCTATTGGACTTTTGGGGAACGTATCCCGTAACCGCTCGGAACGTTGTTCGGTTATGGTGGAATAGGGGTATCGGTGTAAATCCCGCTGACTTATGGCGTGTCCAAAGAGTATTTCAGGGTATCAAAGTTGATTTCGAACGGCGGCCGCATCGCTCGAGTGTCGTCTCACGTCGGGAGCCCAGTATCCATCAACAGGCACTGCTCGCGAGGGACACTCTCTTATATGCTTCGATCGTCCAATATCGCATTCTCCGTGTAAATCATGCAGCTGGGTTATTACCCGATTTGGGTTGTTGATGCGAGGTTTGGCTTCATTCGATGCTCAACCCTGGTCTGCATCGGGAAAGCCAAATGTCTCGGCTGAAGTCCGCAGAAGTCGTTGCGTGTTATTGGTGAAACGAACCATCTTCATGGATTTGCTCACCCAGACTCTAGCATATCCGCATACAGATTGAGCGAGCTCCCGATAACATCCACGATAGCCCAAGTTTGAGATCCTTTGAAGATCATCGCCCAGACCCTGAGCACCCCCGCGCTGAGATGTCGTGTAAAGTTGGGCGAATCGGGCGTAATGTCGGGCGGCACGGCAAACTCAGTCTCATCCAACATGCTTTTCACAATCGCAATGATTCTGTGCTCGTCTTCTGTGATGGGCGGGTCTGCTTCCGGTACTGACAGGGCTTCGAGCCACTTGCTCATGAGGTAGGCGCACTCGAGCGTGCACAACGAATGTTGAATGCTCCAGATGAACGATTGTGTCTTTGCCACGAGACGATAGCCGATCTTGATGGGTATGGAGAGTGCATGGGCTGAGTGGAGCACAGCTCTTGTAATCTTTGGCGAGCGCCTGATTGTAGGCCCGGCGCGGAAGGCATTGGCAATCAGCACAGGGTCGCGCGTCTCTAAAGCTCGACCTGCGGTGTCCACGTAGAGTCGTATGTATGCCAATCGAAGTAACGCAGTTGAGTTGAAAGCGACAGGACCATTTTGCGACATCGGGTCGAGCGATGATTCAGGGTTTTGGCGCCATCCGGTCTGCCAGTTTCGCAGAGCGTTCTCGAGTGACGCAACGTCTTCTGCGCTCAGATCACCGGGTCCTTCAAAACGACATCGTGCCACTTGTCTGAGGAAGAAAACATGCTGTATCAGGGCGTGTATCAACGCGTAGTTTCCAGACGACGAGTTGACCTCGGTGACGTCGCGGCCTTGCTTTGTAAATAGACGTTTCAATGCATCCTGGAACAAGACCTCAGGCGCACTTTTCTTCCTCGCTTCCCTCCATAAAGCTTCCGTGGGTGCCTTGAATTCCGCCGCACTGCATGGCAAGGGCAACTTGACCTCGCTCGTTAGCATGAATGGAGGAATGTTGTAGACAATGCAATGGAGGTTGGAGAAGCCATAGACGATGAACTTGGTCCTTTTGATCGTTTCGCGCCGAATCCAGTCCGACCATGAGATGGTCTCATGGAGAGGTTCGGTCTCGAGTCCGTCGTCCCGAATAAGGGTAGCTAATATGCTTTGGATTGCTAACGCCTCTCTGAGAATCTCTTTGTGTTTGGCCCAAGTACACAGTGCCATGAGCAAGAGTAGTGTCTGAGCGGTCTGCATGAGATCTTCGCCAAGGATAGGAACATCAGCCTGGGAAGGTAGGCCCAGCGGTCCCGAGACGGAGCCCTTACGTTGAGGGCTACGAGGGTCGCTCGGATGATTGTGGGGCGACGAGTGATCCGACTCAGAATGATGCTGGAGCTGCACGAGACGCGTATCCCGTTTCCTGATACGATGTGTCGCAATTGCTTTGCTTACATTGAACAGCTCGACACCCTTTTCGCCCTCGAAAGTGTATTGCGCACCAATAGCCGCCAATGCTAGGAGTAGCTCTATCGAACACGTCTCCACAGACATTGTGGGTATGTGGAGGAAAGGCATGTGCTCGTGAAATCCGTTGATATACGCAGCAATATATCTGCACAGTGCTAATCGAGTTGGTAGAACGAAGTCGCTGGGTATGACCATGGAGAAGGGCTGGAGCATCTCGAGAATTTCCTGCCGATCCTCGTGTGAAATATCTGCGAATGATCGTTTCCGAGCGGATTGATCGTCTGGCTGCAAGGAAGGAAAACGAGAGCCGAAGCGTGAAAGCGAAGGCGGCTCCTCTAATTGAGTTGGTCTCCAACCATGTGTAGGTGCTGTTGTTCCCTCTGGCTCGGTCGCCATTTGTTGACCGTACCCAAATGAGTCTGGAGAGAAGAACGGCATGGGCTGTTCGGTGTTGATCAGGGACGCAAAGTGGTACGAATTTAGTGGTTCACTGTCAAGGAACGAAGTGAGACTGTCCAGTGACTCTCCAAAGGTCGACTCATAGCTATGAGCAGACGGCTCCGTGAGCATGGTTGAGTGTGGGCCTTCAACACTCGCGGCTATCGTTCCAGCATGCGAAGGCATTGGGGTTGGCATCGCATCATGAGCAGAGCCGTTTGCCATGTTGCCTTGAAGAGCTTGATACTCGGCAGCCATGGATAAGGCTGTCAAAGAGTAGGGGCTGTTGTGCCCGAAGGTCATGGAAGCGTGTGACATTGCGGGTTGTTGTTGCGACGATTGCATGTCTAAAACAGCAGGCGAGGACATCATACTGGGTATCTCGGGCACTGGACGTCCAGCATCGAAACTTGACCGCATGCGCTTGTGCGGCCGAGCCTCGACCGAGCCATATGTATCTCCAGCGGGAGTATGCTGGTGATTTTGCTGTGTACTCTGCTCTTTGCGATGAGTGAGTCGCTCATGGCGAACGAGCAGATCACTTGAATTGAGTCTTTAGCTGCTGCTCTAAACGACGCTGGACATATCATACCTGCGTGTGAATGAATAGTTGCATGCTGCGCAGCTGAATGGCTTCACACCGCTATCTTGACGCATATTAGAATTGGCTTACGACGCGAGTCGCACGACTTACGAATGCGCTCATGACGCTGGAGATGCTCCAACCTAGCAAAGGCCCGTTGGCAGTGTGGACATTGAAATCGCTTTTCCTTCTTCCCCGGTTGAGCTTGCGGGACCTGCTCTCCTCCACTGGTAGCGGCTTCCATCAAAGACCAATCGCGACGCTTTCGCTCACGCAGGGCCCAATTGCGACCGGCTTAGCAGGCGATAGCCGAGTTTTGGAGCAGCCTGAGCACTTAGACGAAGTTTGGAGACTGCAAGTCGTGTTTCACGAAGTCGGGTCGTGAGATTGTGGGGAAAGGAATGAAGCGCGGGGACGCGACGGTTCACATGCGGGGGTGCTGGGAAGAGGTGGGAAAGCCACCAATCACACATGTGACATGTACCCACAGCCCAGGATGCACGCATATTGATGGAATGGATGAGGTGTAAGATGTTGTTTTGACACTTTTGCGCAGAAGCAAGGTATGGAGAATGGTGGTATTGCTACGATCACTGTCGAACAACTCGTCCCAGCCCGGGCCGGATGATCCCGGGTGCCACTTGCCCCAGCCACAGTCCAACGCGACGCGACGCGTCTTCTGTCCATCGTCACAAGCCAACAATCTTCACGCCTTCTTGCTCCTTTCGCCCAGTTCTCGCGGCATCTCGCCTTTCTCTGCCATGTCATTCAGGACCTTCTCAGCTGTCTTCATCGCGTCGACCCCAGCCGGCACACCGCAGTATGTTGTGGCGTGAATGATGGCTTCACGGATCTCAAGCTCGGAAAGACCATTGTTCCTTGCCCCGCGCACATGCACAGCAAGCTCGGGTGCGCGATTGAGTGCCATGAGCATGCCGATGTTGATCAGGCTTCTCTGCTTCTTGTCGAGACCTGGACGTGTCCAAGCGTATCCCCAGCACATCTCGGTGACGAGCTCTTGTCCGGCTCGTGAGAACTCAGTGGACCCGTTCTCCAGCGCGCGATTGACGTATTCATCTCCCACCACACTCCGTCTCATCTTCAGCCCTTCATCGAAGAGCTGCTTGTGTAGCTCGTCGAGCTTCGGATCGGTCGACATGCTGGCGGTCGGTTGCTTCGAGGTGCGATGGTAGCTATTGCGGCTTTGACGTGAAAGAGGCTGTCTAAATCAAGTCGAATTATTAGGGTGAGGAAGGTGATAGTCTATCTACCGTGCGTTTCGTAGTACCAGTACTGTGACGAACTGACAAGATTGGCATGCTTGCCCCGCGATGGTAGCTTCATTCCTAGATAGCCCGCCCTCGGCATTACCCCAAACATCCCCAATCTTCTCCAACTTCAACATAACGCTAATGCGACTAGTTACACACATCTAATTGAGGTTCAGCGACATCGGGTCAGATAACGATGGGGTGTCACAGGCCCACGTTGCTGCTCATGCGCCGTTCGATTTAGATCGCCAGTCTTCCTGGCCACCGAGGTAGCGATATACCACCCGCGAGTCCAAATCCCTACAACGCGGATCGTTGGCTGCGCCATCGTATGTCTGTAGTCCAACGTCACCCAACACGTTTCTCGACCCTACTCGTTTCGCCATGTCCACGGCTAAACCGAAGTCTTTGCGCATGAGCTGCACTTTGAAACCCTGCTTCCAGCCTCCTGAAGACGGGGCTTCGGGGTATACATGTGGGACAGGGCAAAACTTGTCGCAAATCGTGTTCTGGGCAGTACCCGCAGCGTATACTTTGGCCAGAGTGCGGGGATCCAGTCCGCTGCGCATTCCCATGTCGAAAGCCTCAGAGCAAGCTATGGCGATGATACCCGATAGGTAGTTATTCGATAGCTTCGCTGCAAGTCCAAGGGATGGACCTCCGCAAGGTATCACTTGCCCACCCATCAAACCCATCAGATATGTGAGGCGCTCAATATTTGGGTCCGACTCTGCACAGCCTAGAAAGAATGCGATCGTGCCTTTGATGGCTCCCACTACGCCACCACTCACCGGGGAGTCATAGAACGACGCCGAGGGGAACTCAGCGGCGATATGATCTTTCACAGCGAGGCTGGTTGCCGTGTCTATTGTTGAACAGTCGATAAGCAGCTTGTTCGAGATATCGGTGCTGCATACGCCGTTTTGAGGATCGAGATATACGGATCGTACATGTGCACCTTCAGGCACCATGCTTACAACTGTGTCCTGTCATCTCGTTAGCTACCATCTTCGCACGGTGGTGTCTGGACTCACGACTTGTTGCGCTACGTCTTTGGCGCTTTTTGCCTTTAAGACTCGACCGGGAAACTCTGCACACGCATCGTCTACCATCTGTTCGACCACGTCATAAACCCAAATGCGCGATTCCTCGGGCAATTTGTTGGCAAGATGAGAAAGCATTGGTTTTCCCATAGCCCCGAGGCCGATGAAGCCCAGCTTTCTAAAATCGTGCGAATGCGTCATGCCGAATGCGTGTGCCAGATAGGGGTGGGGGATTGACTTGAAGCCGAGAGTACTTTCAGGAACGACAGAGAGTTAGCGTCGAGTGGGAAGTTGGTGTGTATACGAGACCTGGAGATTTTGAGAAACACGTCAACACTCTACCATCAGAACGCGTCGTGAGCGTGCCGCGGCTGGTGAAGCGGGGTAGACATTTCTCCAACGGATAACGACGCACTAATCCTACCCACTCTTTCGCCAACACCTAATACCCCCATACGTACCTTGGTAAGCTGAACGATGATCTCACGTGCCATCTCCATCTGCTCGTGCATGAGAGCACCTGCGGCTGTCCTTCTCAACAGCCATAGTCTTGCAACCTTGAGACGACATCATCTACGAAAAGCTCCATCATTCTTGAAAAATGTCTGCTATTGTCTCGCAAAAGCAGTCCGACCATGCAGCGGCGGCCGTTGTCACTGTGCACGCGTTATCGTGTGGTCATTTTTCTCTTCCAGAGTACCAATTCGTACACCCTGTTAGTCGAGATGCACGCCGGACCGTACCTTCGTTAGCATTTCTGATACAGCACTACAACCAAAGCACCAAGAAGCGGACACGGCTTGTGTTCGATCTGGGCCTGAGGAGAGACATCAAGAGATACGCGCCACCAATACAAAAGCATGTCGAGACGAGACAGCCAATGAGTACCGATCCGGACGTCACCAAGAGCCTTGCGGGAGGCGGGCTAGTACCCGAGGATATCGATTATGTGATCTATTCGCACGTAAGTCACACGACCTTGCTTTGCGGACGGTAGGTAACGTGGCTACGGCAGGTGCATTGGGATCACATTGGCGAACCTCGAGACTTTCCCACATCTAACTTCGTCGTCGGCCATGGTTCACTTGCATTGCTGGATGGCACATCGTCGTCTTTGCGCGGTGGCCATTCTTTCTTCGAAAGTGATCTTCTGCCAGAAGAGCGGACCATTGAACTATCGGAACCTTGGGCAAACGTGTTGACGAAGCACGACTCATGTAGGGGAACGGGCGATATCAATTTTAGTGGCTCCTGGCAAACGTACGGAAACCTCCCTCAGACTTTGGATGTTTTCAATGACAGCTCACTGCTCATCGTCAACGCACCCGGTCATCTACCAGGACACATCAATCTTCTTGCTCGAACATCTCCTGATCAACAAATTTACATGGGCGGAGATGCATGTCACGACAGACGACTATTGACCGGAGAGAAAACGATCGGAGAGTGGAACGATGCTCATGGACAAGTCTGTTGCATACATGCCGACAGAAAGCAAGCTGAAGCGACGATTGACAGAATCAGAGCCCTGGAGAAAGAAGGTGTTGAGATCATCTTTGCACATGACGTTGAATGGGAGAACGATCCAAAGAACAAGACGCGCTTCTTCGGCGCGGAGCAAAGCATGGATGGTTAGTTGTTAGGACCCAAGACATCACGCAGCAATTGCTCTCAACAAGATGTCGGGATACCGATCGTCTTTCGCACATACCACATTGCAGACTCGCAGTATGGAGTACCCGCCACAGC